AACACAGCTGTGCTTCTTTGAGGTGTTTACCAAATGACCCAAAGAGTGACTTCCACATAGGAGGGTTAAGGCCAGTGCACTGGACTACCATTCCCTGTATCCTTGGCCCTACACCTATACAGGTCCATATACAGCAATGCATACCTGAGCAAATTAGTGATTTCCTAAAACAGCAATTTCCTGAGCCTCCCTTTTTGTAACCAATGTTGTCATTTTTTGTCACCTCAATGCTGCTATCCTTTTACACTGTACTATACATGAACCAGTTCATCCCTGATTGTTGAACACACCATAAACAGTCAGGATCTTTTGGTTTGGGAACCAGACAGTGATAACACATTGATCCCAACAGAGCCCTATTTTCTCCAGCGAGTTCATGTCTAGCAACTGGACATGTAAAGACGAAGCCGTGTATAATATAATTACACATTGAATGTCTTTGGGTAAATGGGCCATTAGGTGTTTGTGTTGAGTTGTGTATCACATGCCTGCGGGGCAATGACTTCACATTTGATCCCTGGGTGTACACTGTACATGTACAGGTATCCTTGCTTCCTACATACCGTACATCACGGTAGAGTCGCTGCATGGGAAATTAGGCATTTTACGTTGCCAATAAGCCCACAATTGGCAATATATTCACCAAGGTAATCAATAACCTATGGCCTGAGGATTGGTTTCATAAAAACAGAATGAAAAATGTGCAACTTTTGGTAGGTTTTAGCACTTTTTAATAAAAAATGTAGTTTTTCTATGCTTGCTTTTTAATCTGATTGCGAGTCAGCTTAATGGTAGAGTTGTCTGTCTATTTGAGGCATAGACATCCGAGTTGTCCCATTGGTTGAGTTGTCCTGAGTTGAGTTGGCAAACAGTCAAGTTGTCCAAGCCTTGATAGTTGGTATGTATACCTTGGTTGTATTGCCGTTATGCGTGTACATGTACTATACACCCTTGGCAGAAAGTTTTTCATAAAACTAGTATGGACACCATCCGACATCCTGTGCACAATCCTTAAAAGACTAGTCAGAAAAATATGAAGTGTTTTCAACGTGACTACCCCAATATTTTTACTGCTAAATTTGTTTCTTTAGGACATTCTATTGTTTTCAGAGAGCTAACACAACAGATCATGACAGGGAAACTTAGTGATGTCCGTATACAGGTCAGGGACCAAGGCTGGATCTAGCAATGTTGCTATACTGTGTATACGTCACCTAATTTAGCAACAGCGACATCACTTAAAGTTATTTATAGATTATGCCTCTCAAACGAACCTGATCTCTTCAGTGATGTAAATCTTCGATAAAAATGGCAATGATTTTCCTGATTTAGACTGCATAGCATGTGTTTTACAGCAATATTCCTTTCAGCTACATTTACAGGTTCCCTTAAAGTGCACAGCTAAGATTTCACTGCTGACTCTTCCCAGGTGGTGTCAAAGTTTTTACTGCCAGGTACACATATTCAGCCGACAAAAAACTGTTATGCAAAAAACTGGACTTCTTGATCAACTTGCTTTGTGTATAAAAATGTTGGTATTCAGTGTCTTGATTGACTGCGTGGAGCATATTTTATGATTGTGTGGACGATGTGGACCCTTTCCAAATATAACTCGGGACAACTTGACCATTGAGACAACTCGACTGGTGGGACAACGTGACTGTTTACCAAGTGGTCCATCAAGACAACTCAATCATGCAAGGCAGGAACATGATGGAGGGTTGGGGCATTTCGACGGACTGCACATCTGCATGTTAAGGCAAATTTGCATGTGTCACGTTACATTGCGGCTCGACTCACTGGACACAGCATGCACAGGGACCCATGACACGACTATTTACAGGACCAATGGAGGGGGGGTACGTTAGCTTTGCCAACCAGTGCGGTGCAAGGCCATGACGGCAATGCGGCATGCCTGGTGACAAGGCGCAAAGTGCACGAGTGCCTCAGCCGCACCAGTGATCAGTTGCTTTTCTGCAGGTTTGGGAGAGGGAGAGGGTTAACCTGTCTCCCAGTCCTTTCTCTTTTTCTAATTTGGAGAAAAGACCAGGGCAATGTGACTGTAAAGCATAAGTGCACTCATTGGGAGTCAAATTGTCTCAATCGATGATTTGTACCAATGGTTGAATTGTGCAAAGAAGCACAGATGATCCAGATGTCTAACTGGTTGAATTGTCTCAATTCTCAACATGGTCAAGTTGTTCCCAGTCAAGTTGTCTGAGCCCCCTTTCATGCACATGTGACTGCACAATGTAAATGTTCTTTGCGAAAGAAACTAAATTTTTGATTAGCTTTATTGAGGAGTATAAATTCTTTCGATAAATTTCTTCATCAATCTCATTTTGCAAATTGTATGATTTGGGTGTGGTGTGTTTTCCAGAACAGTATCTATAATGGAAATCTCAAAAACTTTTGAAATCTTGTGAGAATGAAATGAAGTACGCCTAATTGTTGCTTGATCAAGCGATGGCCCAGTGTCGACAGATCAAGCCTTGGTCCCTGAGGGCTCAGACAACTCGACCGTTTGCCAACTCAACTCGGGACAATTTGTCGATTGAGAAAAGTCACCTTGCAATGAGTGCAGTATGTGTTTACAGTCACTTCGTCCACACATTATTATCAATTATTTCTGGTAATGACAACAAGGATTCCTCAAAAGCACCCTAGGCACTGTAGCTCGCAAGCCTGAAAAAACCTGTAAAGAGGAAACAATGAGAAGCAGTTACAGCCAGCAGTGGTGCTAACCAAGTCAATTAATTCAAGTCCATCACAATTCCCTGCATTTTCCAGTAAGTCATGCAAATCCATCACAAGTCATTCTGTCGTAAGCCAATTCACAAGCTACATGTATTCAAATGAGCTGTGACAAAAGCATTCTTATGTCATTGTTCACACTGTAACTAATGATTGGTCTTGTGTGGGGACTTGTGACTGGCCTTGTAAAGGGATGACGAACAAATGCACCATTTGCCAATTTTTTGATATGTCTTGACACGGAACAGCCGTCTGCGGGCTGGGGTCAAGTGACGTAAAGTTCAACAGACTTATTTTAATTTTAAAAGTGAGAGTGAGACTGTGAGATTAAATGGGTAAAGGCAAAAAGACTGGAAAATACCAGAATAACGTGAGCGGTCATTAGAAAGCGGAGAGACTAAGGATCATTTGTGTGTGCCAAAAAATTTGCGACTATGATTATAAGAGGGTGCGCCGAAGATTTCACCATGCCGACACGAAATTGCGTATATGGATGTACATGTATGGCTAAGGATGGAGCGGGAGCGAAGTCTGTGCCACACTAGTGGGGGCTAGGTAGCCAACAACTTAAGTCCATTCACTAAAGTACATTCATGCAAGTATTTATGTTGCTTCGACCTGATTCTGATGCGATTATACTGGGAAGACTGGGATGACGCAGTTTTACAAGTCGGTGCACGGCACACTGAAAAGTGCTTCCTAATTTTCACCTATGCAACTCCATGCACCGTTATAGGCTGACTTTGTAAGCCTTTTGAATTTTTTTTGCGTCCAGCTCACTAATCCGTATAAATTTCATTTTGTTGGATTTACGTAATATAAACATGTTGCTTTTTGGTGTCAGGTCAACTCGCCCCCTGACCGACTCGCCCCTTACCAACCCGCCCGTTACCAACTCGCCCCCTCTTAAACTCGCCCCTTACAAACTCGCCCTCTGACCAACTCGCCTCCCTGGCCGACTCATCCCCTGGCCAACTCGCCCCCTGGCCGACTCGCCCCCTGACTGACTCTCTTGGACCGTCAGTCAAGTATGGCTGGCCCAATCTGTAAAAAAACCTGAATGGTTCTAAGCAACAATGCGACAAGAACGACTCACGGAGGATGATGGATATTTGGACACTAATGACTTATTCATTCAAACGTTTTAGCGCTTCCCATGTCCACTGTCTGATTAGGTTATTTGTACATCAAACATACCCTCAGGATCAACAACTTCGAACCCTCCGTCCAATTAATATTTGGGTATGTGACTGAGGTCCGCAGAAGGAATGCGTCGCAGCTGGGCAGATGGCCCATACACACAATATCACTGAATTAGTTTTACTAATAATAAAAAAAAAATTTACCTCAAATTCCCCAGAAAGTGAACATCCACCAAGTTAACCAGTTCAACTTTCATAATTCTCAACTTTGAGTGCCTGCTGCAAACCCCCAAACCTATTTTTACGGGCAGCAATCACTGATTCCATCTCCGACTGATTGTATTTTTTTTTTTATTACATGGTGAATGGGCCGGCCATACGTGCTTGGCAAACTTAGTGGGGGAGGGGGCGAGTCGGTCAGGGGGCGAGTTGGTCAGGGGGTTGAGTTGGCTAGGGGGCGAGTCGGCCAGGGGGTGAGTTGGAAAGGGCGAGCTGGTAAGGGACGAGTCGGCCCGGGGGCAAGTTGACCTACAATCTACACTTTCATATCTAAAAGAATAAATGAAGTGAATATGAGACATTGTAAATCATACACAATTTCGTGGAGAAAATGCACGAGAACGTTACTACTTGATTATACTCCTGGATGACTTGCTTGAACTTACATGTACTTCCCGAGGACAGATGAGGTATCCTCATCACTGAGGAAATTTAGTATTCAACAGTGGAAGGTACAAGTTTACATGTTTTGGGGTTTCCCAAAAGGCGGCAGGTGGTTTTCGGCCGTCCTCTGATGATTAAAAGTACCTGTTAGGTGGTTATTGTTTGTCTGTTGGGCTTTCTTGACGTTTTTTTAGTTGTCGGCATTTGATAATTTTCGTTTTGTACGTTTTCCAGTGGTTGGTAGGCTTAGGTGTTTCAAGAAAGGTCTTCTGGTACATTTGTTATTGGTTTTTGGTGTTTTCCGGTATTTAGGTTGTTTTTGGTAATTAGTATGTTTATCGGTTTTTAGGGTGTTTGTTGATGTTTTCAGTGTTTAGGGTATTTTCCGGTAATTAGGGTGGTTTTTTATGTTTAGCCTTTTGGGTGTTTTTTGATGTTTTCGGTGTTTTATGGTGTTTAGGGTAGGCCTATTTTCCAGTGTTGTTTTCCAGTTGTTTTCCTGTGTTTTCAGTAATTTTTCTGTGTTTTCCGGCATATGGGGCAGCGCAGACATCCGGGAGTTTCACAAAAGTAACGGTAGCAACCACACCGCGCCGATGAAAACAACTGCAACGAGCGCACACATTCGTACAGATCAAAAAAGATTGTACATGCATAACCTGATCCTCGGACTGGCTGGTGTGTGCGTACGTTGCCAAGGTCGCTGTTTTCACCAGCGCAGTAGGCCTACATGTACCTCATTTGGTGAGAATCCCAGATGTCCGCGCTGCACCATTCGACATGTTCGATGAACTGAAATCCAATATTGGCGCTTAGATTTTGAATCCCCCGGCCCCCCTCCCGTTGGATATGCCATTGCCCCTTGCCTTGCCAACTATACAAATAAAGAAGAGAAAATGTCAACACATTTTATACCTTATTCGCCCGGAAGACAAATGCTTCGTTTGTGTCACTCATCGCCGCGTCGCCTGTGTACCGCGTTTCATTTATGAACAGGCGCCCTCTTGCGGTATGTCCAAAAATTCTACGCCGAAAAACAAATTGTCCTATTGGATAGATTTCATATTGGTTGCAGCCTAGACCCAATCACAGTAGTCCTCTCAGAAACCAAAGTATACCTTCCCACAGTTCATCGTGGACAGTTGTCATGAATTCTGTCGTGTCTGTGATGTTGAGCAAGTGACTTATCGAGGTTTTTGTCATTTTTTCAGGTACCCCGAGCATTTTCAAATATCAGTAAGTAAATGGATTTTGGTTATTGGTAAAGACATTTCAAATAAAAGCGCTTGTTAAATCTTAGGGCATAAATATTCGTGACAGAAGAGAAATTCCATCGAATAATTAGCCTAGGCGGCCTAGAGAGGCATAGGCCTCTAGATGTAGGGTTCCACTAGCCCAGGTTGGGACTCCACGCTTTCCGTTGCGATTCGCGATCTACATACATGTACATGTACCTGACATAATGTACAGTAGTACACATTCATCTAGCTAGCAGAGGCACTCACACTTGCGCGAAATGCATGGTAACGGATAGCCCCACTAGTACTACTACTAGGCACGGACTCTCACTCCCGATCCATCCTTAGCCACACATCCGTATGCGCAATTTCGTGTTGGTGTACTGAACATTTTTGGCGCACCCACTTATCATTGTGGGCGCAATTTCTTTTGCACACGGACATGATCCTTGACCTTTCCACTTTCTAAAACCATTTATTGAATGATTTCACTCACATTATTGAGGTATTTTCCAGTCTTTTTGCCTTTATCCATTCAATCTAATGGGCTCACTCTCACAGTCGCCATCTTTAAAATAAGGTCGTTGAACATTACGTCACTTGACCCCTCATCGTCTCGACAGCTGATCCAGGTCAAGACATCTAAACTGCTGCCAAAGTTTTGGTACATGTAGTATCTTATTGCTCAGTCAGTGTATTACATATGTCTTGAATGGATAAAGGCAAAAAGACTGGAAAATACCTGAATAGCGTGAGTGAAATCATGGAGGAAAGAATGAATGAATTACATGTACATTGATTTTTATGCAATATCAAAAATAAATCGGGATGGCATCAATGCCCATATCTTTGGTACGCCGATGGCATTAATGCCCATAACTTTGGTATAGTGATGGCATTAATGCCCATAACTTTGGTATAGTGATGGCATTAATGCCCATAATTTTGGTATGCTGATGGCATTAATGCCCTCATGTTTAGCATTAGTGCCCTTTATTTTGGCCAGTCCACCAATGCCAAATGGCATTGCCCTAAAAAAAATGAAATGCAGGAGGGCCTAGGACCTACCCATAATTTGCGTATACAAATATTAGCGCATCCATCTTTCTCATTGTGAATCTCCTCAACAAAATTATACATTGACATTAATTGATTATCGATCTTCACTTCAACGTGTTTCTTTTTTCCAGGGAGACTTCAGGAAAAATGTCAACAGAGCATTTACTTTAGAGACTACATGTAGGTCCTAAATACAGAAATGAACCGGCTAAAATTGTCTAGGAAATGGATAAATGATCGCTGTTCATTCAAAACTGATGTTGAGCGTCCGATACGGGCACTAACGACGGCTTCGAACAACTTTCGCCAAATATGAGGGCGTTATCAAAAATACATATAAAGTTTTGGTGAGGACGGGTGCGGATTCAGTGGCACTGTATTTTGTGACTTTTTTCAGAAACACACGAAGATAACTTATATTAATGCTAATCATGATTTATTTGAAAGAAAATTCATGCCTCATCATAATTTCAAATTAAATTGAAAAAAAATTAAACTCTAGGAGAAGAAAAAGTGATGGGAAGTCAAGCTGTTGCGAATGAAAGTGTTTTTCCTCAAACTGCATTACTAAAGCAAAGTACGTGTAATTAAATTAATGCAAAAAATAATTCCTCATTCAAAAGACATTAACTGGCACCTTTTTTGGAATGTGCGCGTGTGAATTATGGTGATGTAGGTATTACTACAGCTGATCCAACTTGTTTGCAGATGACATTGTTCCTATTGCTTCGGTGACAGAATTTAGTATATTTAAGAATAAATTTTTGTCAAAGTACTACCATAAGTGCACATATTATGGTGACTCATGGATAGGCCAAGGCTTAGGCCTAACGTTAGTAAGTTAGGTAATGCCCGTAACCATGTAGCCCCATCGTCACTTCGCCCCACCACCATTACGTCCCATTTCCACTTCGTCCCGTCGGTGCTTGAGGTGTTTGCCTCTCCAAAGTGGGGAGCTTGGAAAGGGGTGCCTGAATGGGCATGAAGATACTCTAACATACATGTACATGTATCTAACATGTTACGGCATTCACTCACTGTTGGCTGCGTTGGTGAAATGAATAGTTGCAATTGTTCATGTATTGGGTTTGTCGTCTCTATTTCAAAGCGATACAAAATTACTTGAAGCTGCAAATTTACGTGAAGTTGCACAACTCGTACGGGGGCACCCTTGTTAACGATGTTTTCCTACCTCCATGGTTGGATTAACGAAACAAAAATGAACGTTCCCCTAAGTGTCCCAAGTCTGGGCCGCCTCCTCTATTTAAAGCTTTCGTTTGAGAAATTCTGGTGTTTGAATTACTTTTGTGTGACAAACTGGTACATTGTACCTCTTGAAAATAGAACCAGGTTCCAGTATGAAAAAAAAGAACCGAAAACCGCACAATCTGTGCTTCATGTTTGGCAGGCAATTATTGGATTTTGGTGAATAAAACATGCAACCTACGTTCGAAAATAGGCCATGTCTTTACATTGAACAACCTTTGCAAGTTGTCAGCAGCGGAACCTCCGACTTGGCTAGAGACTCAAACTGTTGACATTTTTATTTGTTGCATATTCCTCTGTTGAACTGAAAGAAAAAATGAACGATTTTGGTGGGGCGCAGTGGAAATGGGGCGATATGGGGATTGTGCGGAGTGGGGATGGGGCGAAGTGTGGATGGGGCAAAGTGGAAACGGGGTGAAGTGACTGACACCCGGCCTATGTACATGTATATGTCAATACAGAGTTGCTTGTTGGAAACAGGAACCAAACTAGTCTGCTATTAATAGATCTCAAACTTTATTTCCCTTAAAAAACCCCTCCAGGGTATGAATCAACTATACACAGGCTTCATACCTATGACGCTCATCAACCACGGGAAATAAAATCCTCCAGGTGTATGAATCAACCATACACAGGCTTCGTGCGTACATGTTCGATGCAAAATTGAGCTTCATACGTCTGATCTCGTATATATCTCGATCAAAATAGCAAAGCCTCACTTTAGTTAGGCCCTATGACATGGGGATTGGGGATCAGGTCAACTTGGACCCAAACCAACTTGGACCCAAAGCCATTTCGGACCCATGTCAACTCAGACCAGTACCAACTCGGACCCACCCTGAGTCAACTAAGACGATTTCTGGCCACTTAATAACAGTTCTTTTAAGCAGTACACCAAATAATCATTTAAAACGTTCATCAACCTCTAATCATTCAAGTTATTGAAAATCTGGGGTTTATGTATCCACTGAAAATTGCATTGTAAGTGATAATAATTTATCACAATTTGATAACTTTAAAAACATTTTTACACCTTTATCGGGGCCTTTTCTGAGATTTGTTCAAGTGAAATATGCACATGGGAAACAGTCTGCTGTTTTTGTGTCAAAGGATGCCACTCTCATGACATTGAAAGTTTTAATGAAAGCCTGTGTAAGCCTGTTATTTCCCACTTACATTTTCAAACTCGATTCATGGGTGTTTAACTTCAAATTTAGTTGCTATATAAATTCATGAATTTTTATTTTTCATGTTTAATGTCTGACAAAGAATTTTACACCGTTCCTTCCGTTGGCGTCATTTTGATTTCATCATCCGCAATTGCTGAATGCACAGTACAGTGTACATGAAAAAAAAATTTTGCTGGAGTATAAAATAATGTTTTGTTTCATTTTCAAGTTCATTCCAATGCGGCAGATGATTGCATACTATCTTTAGTATTATTATTTGTTGATAACCGATGAAATAAGATTTTTGGACATGCAAATGAATGGTGTAATTGCTCTTGGCTTACACTTACCAAAACAAAATGGAAATAAAAACATGGAAATAAAACTTTATTGCCTGTTCAGGCCTCAGAAAACAGTACTTCTAACATTTGTTGGTAAGGGTTAGATGTCAATCTTATGTTGGAGTTTCTAAAAAAGCTATAGGATATGTCAATCATTCACACGCATTCATATTGCTGCAAGTATCTACGCCAAGGGATTTAATCTGACGTGTGGCACTGACTCACAAAAGGCGGCAAGTTCATTCGGCATTCCACAGAATTAACTGTTCCTCGGGTTGGGTCTGAGTTGGTTGAAGTTGGACCCGAGTTGGCTATGGAACCAAGTTGGTATTGGGTCCGAGTTGGTGTTGATCCAAGGTGGCTTTGGGTCTGAGTTCATTTGGTCAGAGTTGACTCAAAACAGTGGCATGCACTATGTAACATTGTATCTGTAAGGTCAGTGTAAAACTTACAGCTCTGAAAGTAGGGCCTAGCCTTACCCTCAGAACTGTAGGGTTTGACGTCCGCCATGCTCCTACCCCCAGAACTGTGGGGTTGGGGCAGAAGTCAGACCCAACAGTTCTGGGGGTACTGTGCTCCCACGATAATGTCACAGCAGAATTCTGAGGATTTTGAATTGGGATACGACTGTATCCACATGTCACTGTAATTTGCGTACTTCGTACTTTGACCAAAATTTGTTCTTAAAATTAACTAATCATTTTATGGCTTCATTTGCACTCGTTGAAAGTTTGACTAAAATCCTACAGGGAATTTTATTATGAAGAACATTGGATGTCACCAAAACAACAGGAACAATGTTGTCTGCAAATGAGTCTGATCGGCTGTAAGAAAAGTATGTCAGCATAATTCGTGCACGTACGTTGCGAATGTCATTTTACGGGTATCGATAATGCCCTACTTCTCTTGAATGAGGAATTATTTTTTCATTAATTACTTTGGTTTGGTGATGCAGTTTGAGGAAAAAAAAAAAATTTAGATTGCCATAGTTTGACTTCCCATCACTTTCTCTCTTTCGTTTGCCTGGTTTTTAAATTTTTTTAAATTTACGTTCAAGTTACTGTGAGGCATGAATTTTTATTCCTTCGAATAAATCATAATTAACATTAATATATGTAATTGATCTGAATGCTGTGACAAAATGTCGCTTTCTATGTTTATTTCTAAAAAAAAGTAGCATAACATCGTGCCACCGAATCCACGCCCGTCGGCAGCAACGGAAATCTCAAATTATAAGGTGTGCAGTGCTTTTTCAGGCTCTGTATGTTTGATAATGCCCTGAATAGTTGGTGAAAGTTGACCAAATTTGTTGTTAGTGCCTGTGTCATAAGTCTAACACCAATTGTGAGCAAACAGCAATCATTTATCCGTTTTCTAGACAATTTCAACTTGTTCACTTTTGTATTTAGTCTGTAAGGTAAAACTCTATGCTCTGCTGACATTTTTTCCCGAATTCTAAGTGGAAAAGCTTTTAATTCGCACATAACAGCAAAAAGAAAATGCCGAAGTGACGATCAATCATCAACAGTAAATTAACATCAGTGTTAGGTTACTCTTTTGAGTGAAATCAATTAGCATTTTGTCAATTTGGGGGTTAAATTTTCATGATTATGATAAAATCTGGTACAATGCAATCTTTGAAAGTGTGGAAATTTTAAATTTGCACAACTTGCACAATTTTTCTTGAGCAATTTTTATTAGGTTGCACATATTTTAAATCTGCACGGATAGCGCTGAATGCAATATTTGAATATGCTCAATTTTTGTGCCTCGAACTGTGCGATTTTCAAAGGGAGTCATGTTGGTTAGCATTTCACCAGGCCCAGCCAATGGCACAGGGATTCCCATTCCCTTTGAACTCTCCAGCTGTCTGGCACCAGTCAAGCTGGGAAACTTCCAGTACTTCCAGTACAAACAAGTGGTTTTGATGTTGGTTTAAAAAAACCCTGATTTTCCCTGAATTTTTTTTTTGTCTAGGATCCTACCTTTATTGCAGATATATTTCTAATTAATAGGCCCACACATATGTACCAGTATGGCTTTAAGAATTTTCTGCATTAAATTTTTTCAGTGGGAAGCAAATTCCAAAATTAAATGTCTACAGGGGAATTTAATTGCTCTGAAGTACCGGTAGCAATATTCATCAACATGCTTGAATGGTGAAATTTCTCGCGGCTGGCCAGCATGGCACGTGATGTCTCTTGTTCTGGCTCCATAAATATATAGGCTGCTGTATGAGTACATGCAGCACACAGGTCACATTCGAAACAGACCCGACAAAACGTGCAAAATGTGTAGTTGATGTCAGTCTCTTACGTACGACTTTTGCCTGAGGTTTATGTATCCATGCATTTTTTATTACTGTGCACAATGGTTATGGTAATATCCGTGGTTCTGCAAAATTTAAACATTGCGCATGCAAATTTTAAATTTGCGCACTTTCAAAGATTGCGCTCGGCACTCATAAATGTAACAATTTGAATTCTTCTGACGAAAGACATTGCATAGCAACTACTATCTCTCTAATGGACTGGTTCTTTGTGCCTTTCTTAAACATTGAGAACAGTGTATTGATGCAAGGGGTCTAGGGCTGTGCCGAATATCTGAATTTTTGATCAATTATCAAATATTTCAATATTATTTTCTGAATTTAATTATTCGAATGCAAAATTTACGAAAAGGGATAATTTTCTTTTGTTTTAAATGAGAAAAATTGCAATATGGAGGCTTGTTTCAAGCAGATTCAAATGAAGAGCCACAGAAATCTTACAACGATTCAAAAAGTAAATTATTCATTAAAAAAATTAAAAGGAATAGAAATTCTCAACAAGACAAGAAGTATTGTTTATTTCTTAAAACTTGCTAAATTGTGGCTGAAGATACTCCTAGATGTGAGAAGCTATTATCGTGATTATAATGAACAATTGTGTGCATTATTGCAACTGATTTTGTACAATGCATATGGTTTGTTCATCAACAATCTGCTGGTCGATGTGACTGAATATTTGGATATTTGATCAAATTGAAGGTCGAATACTCGAATAGTGAATTATTCGAATTGACTGAGCCCTAAAGGCATCTCTTATGTAACTAAGCGAAAGTTTACAATGAATCACAAGATATAGTGACAGTGTTTTTAGTATGGAGAATTCAAATGGTTATGTTCACGTGGAGTCAAAAGAACTCATTGTACCAGATTTTATTGAAATTTAACTTGCAAAAGGCTTATTAGGATGAAAGGAAGGCCTGGAGCACTTCAACATGTTCAACTAGCCTACACTTGTACTAGGCCTAGTACTAATCAATTGATTGTCCAAAATGTTAAAAGAGGCAATTTGTAGAGTCCAAGTTACTCTGACTAGAACATCAAAGCGTGGAGGTACCTCCATTGTTAAAGGTTACTGCTGGCATGGGTTGATGTACGACTCATGCAGCCATGGCAGGTCTGGCATGTCCGGTGCACTTCCTCTCATTTCGATTTTCATGCATTTTATTCTTAATGATCTTTGGCAGTCGGCAGTTTATACACCTTCATGGTCATAAATGTAAACGGGAATGCTTTAATACCCTCACTGTGCATGAAACACTTAGTGAAATAGGGAGGGAACTTTTTTGATGAGTGGTGAGGTTGTTTATGATCTGTTAGATAATGCACAATATCAGATTAAACAAATAAATTAAACAAGATATTTAAAGCCCATCATTTCAAAGAATATTTTGACAAGGGTCAGACTAGGAATGTACCAGTAAGAAAAAGGTTGATCTAGCAGTTTAATAACTCAAGATTAAAATTACTGAAAGAGCACCGAATTCACCTTAAAATGACACTAAGATCATGTAGGCAACATTATGGGGTCATCAGGAATTAATCAGTGGAAATTGACAGAAATTTTGTTCCCTTCTTTACAACTTAATTTTACCTTGTGTGATGTAAGCAGAGGCCTACATGTAGATAACATTTAATTTGGACCAGTATCATCATGCAACAAAAAAAGGGAAGTTCAAATTGGGAATTTTTCAATCCTTTCAAAGGTGTATAGATTCAAGACTCATTCACTTTAACTGTGAAAGAAGCTATGGCGTTTCGAGCCGGTGGAACCAACTGGCAGACCTTCCAGCAGGGGACGCAAGGCCAGCAGGTCAGTCCAGCAGAGCGGGCTCAGGCCAAGGCAGTGACTATCAGCGAGCAGGAACGCCTCATTGAGCAGAAGAAGAAAGAGATTCAACAAAAGATGGCTGAGAAGAAGAAAAAAGAGGAAGAGGCCAAGGGTGGGGCCAAGAAGGCAACAGCAGCTGCTATTAAATTGTAAGTATTACCTTGCTGTATATTTTCTCCATACCCTTGACCCAAACCCCAGGTGTGCACATGTTTCAAAACCTTATGGGTAAATCTATCCTCTTTAGACACCATGACTCAGTGGTGAACGTGGGTGTAACAATCAGTCATATTGGAATTGAAAGACACTTCAGAAATGGTATTAGTACCTTGCTTGGGGGAAGATTCTTTTTAAAAGATTAAGAAAAAGATGGACCATTGTTCCAGAAGGAAATATACATGTACCTTCCCTCTCCTGCTCCCTCCCAGACTCAAATCCTGGATATGCATGAATGTGCAATAGCTTTCACCTCTCTTATATTTACAGCTCGACTTATAATGTCTCCTTTCTTTTTAGTTAACCGTATACTGCCGGGTTTAATTTGAAATTGCATGACATATACCCAGGGGATTTTCAAGATTTTCCGTTTTCAAAAATCTTCAAAAATTCATAACGTCATTTACTGAATATTTACACCCACATGAATGACTGTCTGGTGGTTACTCTAATAGACAACATCTATTGACACCTGAGTATTGCAGCCAGGCCTGTTGCCTTGTAAAGAGAGCCCAGATTGTGTGGTGTTATGTAGTTCTCTTTTGTTCCCAAAACTGGCCTAGTGCGCTGCTGGCATCTTTTCATTTCAAATGCTGACCAGACTAGTGTGCAGCGGTATTGTATACCTGAGCGCTGGAGCGCTTTTGTCCCCAGTGGTAATCCGCTCGCTTTGAATGCCACAAGCAGTGGTATAATCATTAAAAGCAATGACGGATTTCCTCTACCATTGACAACTGAAAAAATGTTGGCAATTCCCAGCAACTTGGTCTTTTGTTCCTAGTACAGTCTTTTGTTACAAGGCCCAGTTCTTTTGTCTGATTTTGGACAAGCTGGCTATGCATATACACCCAAGGAGTACAGTTCTGGAAACTCCGGCAGCAAGTGGTTAACATGTTCACCCATAATTATGTGTTTGTAATTAGGACATTTAAAGATAGATTGGGAACAGGACTACATGCAGATGTTGTTTTTCCATTTTCTTTCGTAAATGTAACTTGTAAGCCTAGATAATAATTTGCGATTGAAATGAGAATGTGATGTTGGGTAGCAGGTTGTGTGTCTGGGGCATTAAATTGACTCATGGTAATAAAATGTCAAACAAACATGGCTCTATTCATATTTAAGGGGAAGGAGACACCATGTTTTTATGCATGTATAGTAGACACATAATACTCTTGCTTTCTACGCATGTCAAATAGTGTGCTCTTTTTTTCCAGTAATTCAAAGACGATGTAACAAATCTTCCACTTTGTGCTCTTTTTAAAATGTAGTAATATTGGGCTCCCTGCGCAACCACCTGCAAAACTTGTACCGACAACAGCAGAGGCTGAAATTGCTGGTGTACCAACACCAGCTGCCACAGTACCAGCCCCTGTGGTAGGTGGACCAGAAGTTACAAAGCCAGCGGGTAATATCTTCTCCAATGATGGCAGCTTCTTAGAGCAGTTTCGCAAAATGCAAGAGCAGAACCAGAAGGGAGAGAAGAGTGAAGGTTTGTGTAGTGGACAAATGGTTGAAATTATTGCAAGGGGACAGTCAGGCTTAGAGTAACCAAGACAGTGCAGAAAAACATGCTGACATCTGGCTTAGGTACAGTTCCCTATCTTCATCAAAAGACATAGATTTGAATATATGAGTAACTGATTGGAGGAGTGTGAGATGCATAAGAGGGTTAATCTCTTAAGACCTGATAATACATCTACTTTTAGAACTTTGAAGAATTTAGACCAAAATAAGTTGTGAAAAACTTTGCCATTCCATTCAAAAGTTTAATGATATGTAATGAGTACTAGTGAGCTTAATAGTACAATGGGTTTTTCTTAATCTCAGTAAGCATAATTTCTTTAGAAATACTAAACTAATGAGAAAGATAAAAAAAAAAACACCTTTTTTCCAGAGGTGTTTTTTTATGTGCTGAAACTTGTGGCTTTATTTTTTACTGCAATTCTTTCTTTTATTGACGTTAACCCCCTAGGGTGTTCATGTATGTAAAAATCGCATTGAAATTGGAGGATCTGGGACTGGTAGGAATGGTGAAAGATTGTGTGCACTATTATAACTACTGATATCATTGCATGTGTGAAAAGCTGATTCAATGCAATTTCAGCCATTAAAATAGTTTTGTTTGACATGACTGTGCAGGAGCTGGCAATTAGTTACTTTTGTTAACTCCTAGGATATGCTTCTCTTTCCATTTTTATAGAAACAAGTTTATAGAAGTCAATTTACCGAAGTAAACATGCACTTGTATGTTGGGATTTAAGTTTCCGTTTTGCTTTGGCCACTATTTGATGTAACTACAATTGCAAGAATGTGGTGGATTGGATTGGAGAGTATGACTTAATTTTTGTGTTATACCCTCTTACTACAGAGTCAAAACCATCTTTGCTGAAGACCAATCTGAGCGACATTCCACTACCGGACCCCCCAAAGCCCAATCAGGAGCTCCCAACCACATCCCTGGCCCTCTCTTCTACTCCCACAAATCCCCCACAGCCTATAGCCTTTAGCACAGCGTCCTCACACACCAGGAAGTCCACCCTGCCAGTGCCAAAGCCGAGTGCCTTTCGGGACTCTGATGATGAAGATGACAATGTTTTGGCAGCAAGTAAGTTGATTGTCCTGGGTGTGTGAGATTGAAAATGAAAATGTGTTACATTGCTGCCTCCTCTACCCTCCTGCCTATCAGATGCAACATTTTTGCAGACAATTTGCAATAGTTAGACAAATTTAATTTGATTAATTGATAGGTGTGTTCATTGTATGAAAATGAAGCATTGTAAAGAAACAGTGGGGAAACTATTTTCATTTTAGAAACACATAGATGGTGTCAAAGACTTACGTTTGGTGCTTCATTAGTACTGAGTAAACTTTCACACATGGCTTGGAAGTTAGAAACACAGTGCACAGCAAGACAACTACTAATCATCCATCTGCTCGATCTTAATTGTGACTGAAAGGGGAAAGTCAATCCATCAAAGAATGAATGAAACTTGGCAGCTCTAGATAATTTTCAGTGTTGTCAATGAGTACTGTTATTTTATATTATACCATCTATCTTAAAACAATTTTGATAAAATTGAAACTTTTCTTGCAATGAAAAAAAAAGTCATCAAATATTTTCCAAAGATTTCTCCTTGTCCAGAAACATCTCTTAAATTATGCAAACACAAGAGGAAACAGTCATCCATAAAGCAACCCCCTAAAAATCCAATTTTCTTTGAGTACACCTGTCTTCATTAAGGAAGTTTTCCTTTTGCAAGAAGTCATACGCCTTGAACCTGAAAAAGCAGGATAGTTGATATTAGTTGGTAAAATCCCAAAATGCCAAATGGCTTTATGTGTGGCTCTTCCTGTGGGCGTTTTCCCTCCTGCCTTCAATGCCGATACTTATAGGAGCCTATAGTCTTACCGCCAGACGATCCTGAACTGTTGACGACAGTCAACAGACTGGCCCAAGAGGTTGCAGAGGGAGGACTAATGGTTGAAGAGACAGCCAAGAAGGAACACAAAGATGAAGAACTTTACAGGTGAGTAGAAAATGTTGTTGGCCTCAAAGATGTCAGGGTAAAGATGGCACAACCACTTTGAAAGTAACACATTTGTCAGTATCTTGTTCGGAGAAAGTATTTGAAATAGAAATTTCTGGACTTTTTAGGAGCTTTTCAAACTTTGTGGCTACTTCAAAAACCATAAATTCATTAGTTTATGGTTTTGTGTGAGCAGTGTTTGCTGATGAATTAAATACTACCATGAAACCTTAATATGCAAAGGCAGGGCCATGCACACAGCTTGGAAATCCTATAAATGAAACTGTTTTCTCAGTGTCATTTGGTTTTGTAACTCTACAGAATTAAGATGCTTTGTTTTCAAACAGTATCCACTTTCTTACACCCAACTTGTTTCATTGATAATTTCCCTGTGGTTGAGTTTAGGTGCCTGTGTTGACTATTTGTATTTCTGTTGGTAGGTTTTTGTTTGACCATGATTGTCCTGAACACAAGTACTACCAGAAGCGATTAGTGGAGATGCGTCTGGCCAAGAAAGTACGTACCATCAGGGAAACCAGACAAGCAGGTAAAGTAGCTTCTTCAACTTTTCTTCCCAGAAAGTATTTTTAGGCCAAGCAAATATTCCCAGCAGGAAATTTGGATGCAGCACAATGGGCTAGATATATGGAAAGCGTGGATTGCTTTAGGGCCGGCGACCATTTAGACCCGGTTTGAAAAGGGCCCCCCGGTAAGCTCGCCCGGTTGCAAAAACCCCTTTCATACCGGCCTGGCTACCGGCCTGGGATGCTGGAATGGTTGTTGATCTCAAACTTCTTCAT